ATTACCACCAAGCACGCATTAAACTATTTGCCAAAAATCCTCATGCTCATTCACAACAAGTTACACTATGTTGTTTCTTGCTTTAGCAATAGCTCCTCACCAGCCTCTGTTCTTACACCTAGACATGCAATTATTTCATTAACATATAATCATACTAACATTAAAAAAGCCAATTAATGCTCCACACAGTGCAATTACGGTCTGTTTGTAAGCTGATGCTTTTGTCTGTATTTTTCATAGACCAGTACTTTCATGGCAGCAGTTCTAATCTCATTGAAGGCTGCTGTTTGTGGGTCAAACACCAATTTGACACATTAAGAGATCCTTCAATCCAGATTTCCCCAATTCATGCCAAAACACACAGCACCAAAAAAATAAGGAGCAATTCCTGAATTGGCTCACACTGAGATCCCAAGGAAGTTTTGGTATTCCTCATCTCTCCATTTTTCCAACTCCTGTATAATATCTAAATAATACAAACCTAATGTATTCTCTTTGCCACAAGGAACATGTGAAGACGAGAGTAACTTCCAGCAAATACTTTGACATCTCCCTAACTATTGTTCAAGCTTCCATCCCCTTAACATATGTGAAATGCAATCTTCTCTAAAGAATTTTTGTTTCATTACTGAGAAGACCAAGACAGAGATGCATGACATGATCCGATTTGTTATTTTGCAATGAAATAAAATTTAGCATTGAAATAAAACTTAGCATTGGTTGGGTTTTGTTTAAAACAGCAAACACACCCACACCCCTAGATAAATCAGTTTTATACCCCTGAAAAGTATAATTTTCATTAGGATAAATAAGCCTCAACTAGTCTGCACTATTTATTTACTAAACAATGGCAGAAGGCTATCTCAGAAGATTAATTCATCTTCTTTTAAGACTGTCTTCTCTGTTCAATGCATAAACAAACAGTATTGATCAAACAGGTAAAACCGCAGACTTGGTATCGCGATATGCAGTCTGGAGTTCCATGTGTGTTTTTAAACACGCCCTTTGACACACTGAAACCAGGACACCCTTTTAACATTCCTTCAACAATCTGGCCAAAGACCAATCCCTGCTAGATTCTTTGTCTTGAAACAGAGGAACATTTGCTTCCTATGGCAAAGAGGGAAGTTTTCCCATTGCTATCCACATTGTAGATTTGGAATACATACCAAAAGATACCTGGGGGAGAGTGTTGGCTAGGTTGGTGGTGGTTTTGTTTAGGGTTTGTTTTTCTGCATTTCCTGAGTATAATTATCCAGATGAAAAGAAGGAGTTATGGTCTTCCTGAATATAGCTCGCTCTCTCCTACCAGTGCTGCTGGATCAGAACAAAAAAGAAAATTGTATTATGTGGTTTTCTTTACAGCTCTGTAATAAAACAATTCACAGAAGGCAAACATGGCATTTCTGAGGAAGATACCTCCTCCTCCCCCCCTTCTTCTCACAAGATCTTCAACCTAATCCTTCATCCTACTTGTGAACTGTTAAAAAAAAAAACCTGAACACTGTTCTTCAAAACCCAAACGCAATAGCATAGGTTTCACCTTTGTTCCATACCACACCTAGATCTTTAATATAAGGAGCAGCATGACAGCATGAAAGACTCTTCTCTCATATTTATGTAATTGAACCTTCTCATTAGAGGTATTGCCTTCTTTCTTGGAAATCAGAGAGTATTAGCATTCCAGGGAACCACAAATGCAAGTATTTGGTAGTACTACAGCCCACTTTTTGCAGGCACATGCACCATTTATCCCAATACACAAGCTAAAACAACACAGGCAATTTCTTGTATAATATTGGATTTGTTACATCCACCCTTACATACACATTCCCTCCACACCCCAAAATAAAAACACATCTCAAAGAAAAAAAGTTATGTGATCTCATTGCAGGAAAAATGACAGTATCTTCATGTCAAAAAATTATGTCACTTGAAAGAACCACACCTCTCATTTGTTGACCACTAGCCATCTCTAGTTTTGTACAGCAAGTAAGACAGGAATCATTTGTCAAGACACCAAAAAACCCCAAAAGTTTATTAAAAGCGTCGATGTCTTCTGAAAAATCACCAAAGCAAACGAACCATGGCTCAGCTTCAGAAGGAATCAAACGGCCGCCTTCTGTTTCTTATTAATACAGATGTGCACACTTATTAGGTTTCACATACAAGTAAACCCACTTGTAGGTACCCACACAAATTAAGGGGAAAACTTAGCACCCTGGAAATAACAGGGTTAAAATTTTGCTTAAATGTATGCATGCATACACAAGTACTTTGTCTTCACTACATGTTTACAGATCAGACTAACTACAGCAAATACTGCATACTTACCACGCCATAGAAAAAAATCAGAACATAATCAACTTCATGAAAAGCGATATCTTTCAAGAATATCAAAAAGAGATTAGCACAGAGTAGTATTAAAATCTGATTTTGCAAGTGATCTGGGGAGCAAGAAAAAAAAACACTAGCACATTCATTCATTTCCTTAAACTCCGAATACTTGATAACCATCTCCAGAACCTACTTCTGTAAGTGATAATTAAACTGTCTTGTTTTTATGGCTGCTTTCTTCTTGAATCATTGAGCTACTCAAAGGAAATCAGAAAGCAGAATATTAAAACCTAGAGCAAGTGCCCAAGTGTCTCAAGCTTCTTTGGAGATCTTTATGCAAGTGGCACACATCTTCTATACTTCTTATTGTGGCTATTTCTTGTCTGCTATTCTTGTCTGCCCACAGAATATTTTATCCCAGTTGCTCCAATTACCTTTCTTTTTATACACAGATATTTGGGAGAGCGATAAAGCCCATTTAGAAAGCTGCATGAGGGCTGCAGGTTACACAGCTGCGCTGTGCTGCCTGGCAACTTCTGCGCACCTGCCCCAGGAACAGCTAAAAAGTGAGTGATTTTTGCACCAGTTTTACTCTCCTCCTGTCAGACATGTTTTGTGGAAAGGTTCCCCCCACACCATTATCCACCCACTTCGTCCAATACAGGTTCCTGTGACACTGCAGGGAGCTGAAACGAAAAATAACTACAATATGAGATCGTATTTGAACTTACAAGAAAGTAACTTTGAACAAAACAAGTATTTCTATAGTTCAGGTGGATCAGACCCACGTAGAAGTTTGGTAATACAATTAATAATGCAGCAACTTCCTCTTTTTGCAATTGAATTGAGTCATGTTTATATCTAAAGAGACTGTTTGGGAATCAATCATCTAATATCACTGTGAAAAATCTTTTGGTTTTGCTTTCTAGGAAATAGACATAACTTCACACATGCCAAAAACCCCACACTTTACCAGGAACGTTTGCATAAACTCTGAAAAATTTTAACAGCCATAAAAAAGAAATCTGGTTAAGCATTCCATCTTTCAATTGATTCAACACTCCTACAGGAAGTAGATCCACATTCACAAAATATAATAGTAATTGATTTGAAATACATATAATGCATCATGATATATACTGAGGAGAAAGAATTTGTGCATCCTAATAAGCATCCATTTATATACACACACACACTGGGTACTTGAAAATAAACAGCACTATTTGAATAAAAATGTACTTCCAACAACAGAATTTCTCTATTAAATCCATGTTTATTGCTTAAGTTTTATCACAGTGGAGATTAAATTATGCTTAATCATCCGGTCAGTGCTTTTGTACCTTCTTCAATGCCAAAAAAATCATTTAAACCAAGTCATTCATACACTCGAAATCTTGTTACCATCCCACCATTCATCGCCTCTGTGTGCTCCTTTAGTTGCCACGAACTGCAAGATTGTAAAAAGGTATAGCTAATACGCTTATTTATAATACCATTTTCTTCAAGTATTCAGAAAGCAGTACAAGTAGCTGTACTGTATATTAGAAACATATCTGTACTGTTATTTATTGCTATAGGATAGAGGCTCCTGATGGAATGATAGTGAAATATTGCATCACTGTGTATGAAGATGATCTCAGCATCCTGTAATCATCACAACTCTTCCCATGTTAGTGAACAACACTAGGTGAATGGGTTTCTTTCCTTTCTCTTTCAGGCATGGGATTTCAAACAACAAATAAATAAAGCATACACTCACAACGTGTGTAGTGCAAATTCCAAGTAAACAGAATGACATGGAGATAAACTCATAGTTGCCAACTCTGGTTCCGCAGGGCAGTTATGATTTTATGCCCAGCGCCCTGCATCCCCGCCCTCGGTGCACACCACCGCCAGCGTCCCATGTGGGCAACAATGATTGAAAGAGATTGTTGCAGGGAGGGGCCGTAGCAGGAGAAGGGGGAAGACGACCACCTCTGCAAACCTCGCGCTCGGGTGGCCAGGCTTCACCCGCCGCGTCCCATCAGACCTGGGGAGGAAGGCTGGTCGCCCACCCGGAGAGCAGCCTCCCGTCCCACATCAGAGAATTTGTATTGGCAACTACGCGAAACATGGATTGCGTGGCCCAGACTAATAGAAGGTAGTATTTTTCCAGATACAACCATTGAAAGAGAACATCTACAACGTAGCGATTTAGAAGGAACTTAATAATAATGAGAATTAATAGGAAAGACATTCAACTTTAGGGTGGGGGGCTGGTTGGTTGGTTGGTTTTTAAACAAACCCCAAATAGTGGTTTGATTCTGCACCGCTCTGGGCCATTACAAAACCTTCTGCATTAAGCACAGGGCTAGATTTTCTTTTTTTTGTTGTTGTTTGTTTCATTTATTTTTCTTAATTATGCAAATCTAAGTCCCACACAGCCACATTTTAAACTGAAACAGAAGTCCCTAATATTTTCATGGCAGAAATTATATATGCAGAGTAAGGCAACAAATAAAATTTCATATAAATTAAAAATTAAGACATATTGTCGACCTGCTCAAGACCCTTTCCTCCAAAGTACTGGTAGTGAGCATAAGAGTCATGCAGCTTATCAGTAAAAGGAGTACATATTTTTGCCATTTTTCTTCAGTGCTCATTTTACGTTTTTTATGTCTGTGTTCTCAGTCCACAACTTGCTATTTCTTGCACAAAGACTGGGAAAAAATATTTTTTAAACAGCATTCTTACACAACGTGTTGAACCTTCAACAAAAGAAACAGAGCTAGCACTAAAGTTCTCTCAGCTAAAAGATGGATATATTAAAATAAGAAAATAAAAAGAAAAAACCTCTGCAAATAAAAAGAAACCTCTCCTCATTCGGGACACTCATTTAACTTTTAAAAAGTGAAAATTCATAAATACGGTCATTGTGTAACTTCAGAGAATTAAGGCTTCTAAAAACTTCAGTGCCAAAATAACCTCTCTGCATCAGTATTAAGAATAAAATATTTTCCATTTTAGGTTGTGCTTGCCTTTTTTTTTTTTTAAAAAATTTTTTTAGTTCCGTTAGAATTTTGTCACATAATATTACATACTGAGGGGAGTGTTAGAACTGCTTATTGAGGTTTTAAGTAGTAGTTAGACTAAGTTACAGCGATAAAATTCGATTACTGATCTGATTCATTACTACTTTACATGGGGCAGTTGGCTCATTTCACCTTTTTTTCATGCTTAATATGGCCATTTCTTCTATACTTGCCATTTGGTATCCCATTCTGGTAATGTCCATTAACAGCGCTATGTTCATCATTTGACCAAAGGTGTTTGCTTTGTTTGCGGATAAGTTTTGTTATCCTGGCCAAAATATAATAAAGTAAGGCAGCACCCACTAATACAACAAAGGCAATATCCAGTAAGAAATACTGATATAAAGAGATGCTGTAAACAGCGGCACGTAGATGTTGGGCTCCGTTATGACGGAGGATGTAATTAATCCAGTACACAGTTCGGTTAACAGGATGACCAGGTTGGTCTTTGTGAATCTCAGACAGCCTCTGGGCCCGCTGCCGGTAGCTGCGGGGAAGAAAAAGAGAACGAAAAGAGAAGAAAGGGAAAATCGTCAGCACACTCTGAGCAATGCAAGCCTGCAAACACATAAATATACTTAAGCCTCTTCAGATCAAACAGCATATTACTGCAGGACTCTCGCAGCCACCGGCATACAGAGGGCTAAACATGGCAGATAATGTCTTGAAATTAGCCCTTACAGCTTGTTGATGAAGGATGACTAGAAAAGCAGACCTGTGCGTGACTAAAGGCAGAAATCTGCCCTCCAGCAAAGCTATGAAGAGCTAAGCTGACCTGCTGCCAGAGGGGCGTCTTATCTAATCCAAAACTGAACCCTATTGAGCAAGGCACATTTGTCCTTTCCACTGTAAAGTGGCAACATAACCTAACACACCACTTGCTTATGTTATTGTGCAATTGAATTAGAGAAACACAGAACAAAGCAAGAAACTCGGTTTTGATTGCGCAATAGACTATTTCTACTTGGGTCTAGAATTCAGCCTAAAACTTTTTCTCAACAGGCTGTCCCCAGCAGCCCATCAGGTCAAATTCCTTCTCTCCCCACTCACCGCAGCTGCAGGGTCAACAGGTTATTTGTGCAGGATTTGCCTTTCTACTAAGGATAATTGCACAAGAGAAAGGTGATGCAACAGATGTTATCGAGATCCCTTTAGCAACATTCCCCTTCGGTGCGGTTCTGCTGCTCGCTCCTTACAGGTTTCTCCTTTCCCAAGGCAAATGTCGCTTAAAGACTTTGCTCCCATGAAAGCAAGAAGCATTGTCAGCACTGTACTCCAAAACGGCGGTTAGCCCAATACAATAAACCATCAGCTAACACGTCATTATTTTTAATCTGGAGATGGTCTGAACATCACAGATGTGTAACACACAACAGTTCGGAACAAACTTGTAAAGTGACTCTCCTCACACTAATATCCCTGAGCAAATTTGTTTGCTGTTATTAAAAAAAGAGTTATGAAACCAAGTTCACAGGCTTTTACTTATTCCACCTGAGTGGCGGAATTCACAAAAAAAACAGACTGGAGTCCTCATATTGATAATAATCTGTTAGAATATTGTCATTGCAACCAACACAAATGACCTTCCCGACCTTAAGAGAAGTACTACTGGCCAGAACAGGAAGATTTTTTTTTAATCAAATCATGGGACTTTAGAAAAGCGTCACTTTTTTAATACCTCCATATTTTTAGCTACAATCCAAACATGCCACCCTACCATCATATAGGTGTATTTTGCTCCAGGCCCCTTAGGCAGCACAACAGACGGCTAAGTATGGAGTAATCAAGACACACAAAAAGAAACATTGGTCTGCAACAAGGAATAAATCAGGACAGGGTTGTTTCTGTAACCTTTCTGCCCTTCACGTGGCAACTGTCACAAAAAGCAAATGACACAATTGAGTTTCGGTACAGTGAGCAACAAGCTTAGCATCTATACAGAAGCATTATCAATTGAGTAATCTTGTGAAATGGGACAACCATCCGAAGACTTGCCCCAACTGTACACGCAAATAAATCCCAACATGCTTTTTTTTTCCCCTTGCACAAAGGTTCTGTATATGCCTATTTATCTCATAACAATAACTTAAAATAAAAGCAAGAAACAATCACTCATTCCATACCTGGGATCATTAATAACTTTTACTAGGGCTTCATACAATTCACTCTCAGTGACGGTCTTCCAGTTCAACAATATTCCCATGCCTTTGGCCTGCACACGAGTCATAGTATCATAATGGTCTCCAAAAAGTGGAATCCCCACCACCGGGACCCCATGGTACATGGTTTCAAAAATGCTGTTCAAACCTCCGTGACTAAGAAAAGCTTTAATGTTAGAATGACCTGAAAACAGAAGAGGCATGAAGATAAAAAAAATATGTATTTACATCTCCCTAATGTAAAGTTACCAAAGCACCTGGGTACACAACACATTCATCACCATGTTTCTACGGCTGCAATTCAGGAAGGCAAAAATGAATGCAACTTGTTCTGAAGTTCTCCTCATTAAACCCACTTCACTGAAATTTCACATGCATTAGATGATTTCCTTATACACTAAGAGAGAGAAAACAGCCAATTGCAAAGATAATTCTCATGTACACAAGTTGTGTAAAGTTTGTTAGAGTAATTAATATACATTGTTTACTCCTGAGTAGCTGCAGGTGGTGACTACAACCAGTTTAGCAGTACAAATGAGCCAGGGAGAGTGTTTTTCCTCATTATTCATATGAAATACAAGCTATTTAATGACAGGACAACTAATGTTACATTCTCTCTAAAGCTTCACATGCCTTACTTCAGGCTACCAAGATCTGACAATAATGATAACAACCTTATGTAGTGGAAAAATGAGACTGCCTCAGAGCAATTCAGTAACCAAAACAAATCTACCCGGTTTAAAAGTAATTTGTCTAATCAGTACACTATGATAAATACTCCAGCTGACACGCGCACATGCTGATGCATACACATGCTTAACACATTCATCAGCACTCATTATAGCACTGGAACTGTTCTGCAAACACAAACATCCAGGTATCCCAGAGACAACCATAAATATTCTCTGGCTCCTCGGATCTGCAATATATTCAGCCACCCTTCAACAGGGAAGGAAGGGAAAAAAAACAACATAGACTCTAACACAGTCTTTACCAAAAGATGGAAGAATATCAAGTTTCATCTCTGCACCTGAGAACCTGGAGGACCTCAGGTTAAACAGAAAGGCCATCAGCTTGCAACGCATGCCCAAGTTCTGTTAGAGCTTTCTTTGAAGAAAAAAATAAATACGTATGTGTTCAGCAGTATGTACAGAGCCCTAAGACTTTTTTGGATGCACTGTGAACAAGTTTTGTATGCTCAAGTTTCATGACTCTTGACCAGTGAACACCATGCCATGCTTTCTCATAACAGAAAAATTAACAGTTAGAGTCATCAGTTGTCTAAAACAGCAGATTCAAGAAAATTCCTACTTATTTATCTTTAATAATTGTTTTTTCCTCAAACTGTATAGCTCCCATGGTATAGAAGACACTTGACAAAAAATTTCCCCATTTATTAGGCCAAATAGTCTCTGGAATAACTATGTCCTTCTCCACACAATTAACTTAAGGAAAATATGGCATTAGTACCAGGGATAGATAATTAATATCAGAAAGGTGTTTGATTTCATCATCTTGAAATTCTGACCAATTCTATATTCTTGTTCTATGACTTCCATTACAGAAATTATCCTAGATGTACAGCGACTGCTAATTCAGTAGAATATGGTTGGAAGAGCAACCTGAACTTGAGTGAGAACAAGTGATATATGATCAAAGTAGATACTCACCAAGGAGGTCATTCTGTGGTAACCATTCTATAAGCTTCGTATTGTTGCCTAAATTCCTTGGTTTGTTTCCTGAAAACCTAAAATAAAAATCAAATTGAAGCTGAGTTATCATCAAGACCTCCAAAAATCAATAAACTCAAACCAGAAAATCAAACCAAGTGATCCATGAGCCCTAAGCAGATCTTCAGTTACATGGGGATACTGTTTCCTCACTATTACAAGAAAACAAAACAGGCTCAACCAAAATGCTGTAAATAGCTAGTAACTTCCAACTGCATGTTTTCATCATTCGGTTTCCTTGCAACCTGGCCTTAAATGCAGTGTTTTCTGTTAACATAATGGCAACGTAGTTCCTTCTCAAAGCACATATAGCTCTTACCACTGACCAGCAGGAGGTTTTATAACCTCCCTATGGCTCCAAGCCCTTTGCTTTACTGAAAACTCTGGCTGGTACTAGATAAATAACTCCACCAAGAACATCCCATCAGCACACTGATAATAATCCCTACCATCAACACTAGGCATTCCCTTTCAGTTGGCCAGTCTCCTGTAGCTCTTGCTAATTGACACCGTCTTATTTTAAAAGGAGTTACTAATACCAGGAAGGGAAAGGCTGACAGCTCAGCTAATGGAGGCAAGAAGCTATTGATGAAAAGTTTAGGATCTGACTCAGACAAGTGTATTTTTCTTACTTGCTCAGCTGCCTGAAACCCAATGGCTATGTCTTTCTCACCTGAGGTTGCCAGAACAGTTTAGCCCATAAAGGCTCAAAGTACAAACTGATTTACATATTAATGTTATATGCCATTAATATAGGAAGTTAAATATATTCTAAACAGAAAAGAAACAGGGGAAAAAAATTACCAGTGACTACTGTTTTGTGATAGCTCTATCAACCAGAATATTTTTAAGTTGTTTATTAGGGAGCATTAGAACGATAACTTCATAAAGAATCACCTACATATTCCCAATTAAGCAAGCCATACATCTTTACAACTGGCTTGTACATTCTAGACATTGAAAAAAGCCTATGTTACTTATGCCAACTTATATAAAAGCAAATAAACTGTTACTGGTTTTGGCTCTAATCTCCATAATCGGAAGTATATAGAGAACTACAAAGCTTTTCTTGATTTGGCAGTGATATAAGACTGCCAAGCAGCACTACCTTTCTCATTTTCAGAAATATCTAGTATAAAAACCACCTGCGTCCAACACAGACCATACGTCAATGATCTGAAGAACAAAAAAAAATCAAAGTAAAGTTGGACTCAATTTCATATTTAGGTATTTAATTATGGATCTCAAATTCCCACTGAGGTGACTGAAAGCCCCTTGGCTCAGCTCTCCCAAAGACCATGTCTTACACCTAGTCCCAGGGACACCTTCCCATTCCATAAATCATGATGGAAAGAAACAGCAGTTGGGTTCCCTTATCCAAAAAGCCATTCAGCAGATAGATTGCCGATAACAAAACCAGAACAAAAAAAACCACACCATAACAAAAGCACACTGGTAAGGAAATACTACTGAGGAAAAGTAAAAATTTTAAAAGAAGGCTTCAACTGAAATTGTTGCTTTTGCATTAAAGAAGTTATCCCCAAGAAAAATCCATTAGAATTTCTTTATTTACTACAGAAAGTGGATGCTTCCTACAGAAAACCATTCCAGGGAAAAACGTGATAAAAGGTTAAAACAAAAAAAAAAAAGCGCAGCAAGATCAACCAGGACTAATAATTAATTACAAGCCGAGTAGTGTTGCAGGCTTCATAAGAAACAAACATATAGCAGCTCTACCCCAAAGAAAAACTGATGAGATCTTTACTAAAACTACCAAAGGTTCTGTGCCACAGCCTGAAGAATTTCCATTTTGCTGTTCATTAGTGGGGTTCACTAATTACACACAGCAATGAAAACAGTCCCTGAGAGACAGCGAGGAACAGGATGCTAAATAGGCTGCTAACACAACTCCAAAAGTGCAGCAATCATAAATTGTAAGACACTGATTATTTGGAAACCAATGGTTCACATGAACTCCTCTCAATTTTATTCCAGAGTGAAGCTCCATGTGAAGCAGAGCTGACTTAACAGTTCTTGGATTTTCACAGTAAGTTCAGAGAGCCACTCAAGATGTTTTGAGGCAAGAAAGCTTATTACTGATTTTTATTCCCACAGATTTTTCTTCCTCCAATTCCTCACAGATAAAGACAAGTGAGAAGAGCAATTACGAAAGTCTATATTTACAGATAAAAGAGGAGAAGGAGTCCAAAAAAGAGAGGAAAAAGAAAGATAAAGAGGAAAGAAAACCTAAGGTTAAATCAGCAAGATGTCATTCTTGCTCCCTGTGGTGGCTTCTTTATCAAAAATTGTGACAGTATGTCACAGATGTTATGACCTCAGACTCTTTTCACTGTCCCCAATCCTTCTGGGATATCAACTCAGCATTGGAGTATAACCTATGCCTTCTTCTGCCACAAAAGTCATTGTTCTTCCTTATTACCAGGGGACTGCAACTTTTTCACAAAGAGCATCTTTCAAGAGAGTCAGGCCCTCTGTGCCACCCAGACTGTCTCAATTTCAGCTTCTGCAACTCTAGATCAAGATGGCACAATAGGAAATGAGCGTGCTTCAAATCACCCCAAGTACGTCTATCATTGCACTTACCTCCAAATAACTCTCTGAGGCAGTCTCGCCAGAGCATGTGCTAACTTATTTGCTATATCTTCCGACAGGTATTTCACTCCAGCTCCAAATGAGACCAGGACAAAGCCATTTTCATTAGCACCATTCACCCACGTCTGCAGATCCTGTTAAAGGGAAAATTTATACTGAGCACTGTAGAAGCATAGGTAAACCACAAAAACAGATTAAATAAACATTGCTTAGGAAGAACAGTTGTTGGTCCTGATGTTACTTCACAAGCCAAGTTTCAAAAGTCAAACATTTAAGTTAGCAAGTACAATGACTCCATGATTCAGAATCCACAGTACAGGCTACGAACAGCAAAATTCTTCTGGGTTTGTTTTAGCTTCCATATTAACAATCAGTTTCATAAGACAATTTGCCCTTTAACTGATCAGTTGACACACATTCACATGTTCACACGTTACATTTTCAACTCAGCAAAATGTAAATAGCTATCTCATAGTATCTGCCTGGAAGTACAGCACGGGAAACATGAGTGAAGTCTGGGACTCAGCTGTGTGATCTCTAGCCTTAAATAAAATGAGAGTACTTCAAAAGGGTGGGTTTTCTTTCATTTATATAAAAACACTAAAAACAACTTGAAAGAAGCCAGAGCTTCAAAAAACACTGTTTCCACTGCTCCAATATTTCAAGGAGCAAGGAACAGCATTGCATCTGTATGGCAAGTACAGGGTGGACGTCCCTCTTTCTTGGACCTATATACTTTATCTTACTTAGACCTAACTGCATGCCTCTTCCACAGCAAGTTACCAGTATTACATTAAAAATACACAAGTCTAAAAGGCCAAAGCCCTTTACATCCTGAAGCTCATCCTCCTCCTGTAATTACTCCAAAATCAAGTCTCTTGCAACACAATTTTTGCTGACTCTCTTGATCCAAGGGCTGCCTTAACCTAGGCAAGGAAGGCAACGATGCCAAAAGCAGAGGTCTGCAGTACTGCCCTGCTCTGAAGCACTCAAAGCAGAACATCAATCTCCTGGAGGTAACCCGACAGCCACACTGTGAGATTCAAGTCTGGAGGCAGCAGCTTTTACAGCAGGGCACCCTGCAACGCTTCTTCTGCAGCCAGGTCAGGTCCCCTGCACAGGGCTTTGGGGCTTTCACCAAGAGATGCTCAGCACACACCTGGTCACCAGTGGGAGCATCCCATGCACAACCACAGCTGGTCCAGGGTTTCACCACACTAAACACCTCAGTGCCCTGGGTCCACCCACAAGTAATTCCTTCACAGCTGACGCTTCAGGCAAGTCCCAGTTAAGTTGCAAAGGAGACTCACAACATCCAAACCCTGGGGCTGACTTGGTGGAAACAGGGTTGGTGTCACTGATGACAAGGCAAGCCAGCAGATGCCACCACCGACTGCCACCAAGACAGCAGGGCTCTGCAGGGTCGGGGGAAAAAACATCCTAGCATATGAGAGAGTGCAGAGCTGCCAGCTAAACAAATCTTGGACACAAGAACATCATGTGGCTGGGGGGGGAAATGATGGAAAAGCAAAAGGTAAAAGCCTTGGTGTACCCTTTGCTTTTGGAAAGCTAGATTTAAATTCTATTTTTCCAATGCAACTGTTGGCAGCAGAAACTGAAAAATTATACCACTGACATACAGATATGTCAGTCTGCCAACGAATAACTTCTCTTTCCCAGGATACAGTTTAATCCTGGTCTCACCAAATTTAAGCATAAGCCTGCTCAACTCCAGTACAGCAATAGGAAATGAGTAAAAGGCAAATTAAGAGCCCTGTTCATAATGCGCCTCTTGTCCTGGTAATAAATAGCAGGCCAGACAGTAATAGAGTCATGCTGTGCTATCGTATCTGAGCACAAAACCACAAAAGCTACCACAAAAAACAGCAGGCGTAACGAAGACCTGCACATTACACTGGTGGCTGTACGCTGGTCTCTATGCAGCGGAAAAGGGATTTCCATTTTCTCTAGAATCCACACTTTTTCATTTTTCTACATCCTTTCCCAGTGCACTTTCTTTTCCTTTTTTTTTTTTTTTCCTAAGTCTGTGGAGAGAGGGGGAAGAAGAGAAATGAGGGGAAGTGTCTGCAACCTGCCTTGAAGCTGAATCATTTATTATGAGCTGAACTTCTGACATGGAAGTTTCCAAGTGGTTTTGTGATTTAAAGTTTGTCCTTGAATTTTACTTAAGGACCTAAGGCACGTTGCAAATGTAATTACATTATAGTCACTTTTACTTAGTGGTTCAACTAGTCACATCTTGAACTATTTCCTATTTGTTGTTTAAAGCTAAATAGAAAATAACCTTTTGCGGGCTCCAGGACAAGCCATTCTGAAAAGCAATCAAGCACCATGCTGTAAAAAAGACAGCTCTCCACCCATTTGTGACATTCGATCAAGCTATATTCTGAGAGCCGAAGTCACCTGTTACAAGGTGTTTTCCTTCCAACAACTGGAAGAAGCCCAACATTGACAGGCTCTGGTCTTCATAGGGGCACTTACCCACTTACCCACCCTGATACCTGCTTGGGGGGGGGGGG